ATACATACATACATACATATACAGGTCTTTTCCCGTGTAAGATTGAGATTGTCTTGGCAACGTTGCCTAAGGATGGCGAGTGAAACCTCGCCGAAACATTGCCAAGACAATCTCAATCTTACATGGGAAAAGACCAGTATATGTATGTATGTATGTACGTACGTACGTACATACATGCACGCACACACAGACACACACAGACACACACACACTCAAAAGAATAGATTCACATCTCGTTCAACTGTGGCATTCACCATCAAATGTGTAACTACTAAAGTATCTACAGTATATGTGCCAGTCCAGACCTGGCCTCCAAAATGGGGAAATAACTTCTCTGAAAGATGACATCATGATTTTTACTTTGGAACAGAAGGATTTGAATTGAGATTCCTCCTATTCTTACCGCTCGATACTTGCAAGTCAATATTTTTTTTGACAGTAGACCCATGACAACCCAAAGTTATTTCGGAAAAGGGCACCATTCTCCTGTCTTTGGCAACTGGTACAAGGTTTTGTACTCTTTTGAATTTTGGTTTGACAAGACGTAAAAAAGAGAGAGAGATTGGACCTTGGAAAATGATGTTGCCCTCTATGCTTAAGGGTCTTTAAAATCAGCCCTTGTATTACCACCCCCCCATAAGGAAGTCCCTCATCTGACAAAGGACAATATCCGAATTCTCTCCCCCCACCCCATCCTCTTCCAAGTACAGAATAAACCTAGAGACCGCCAGGGCAATGCTCAGCCTTGTGCATGTGCCTATCCAAATACTTCCCCTGCCTCATCTTTTGATTCCTCCCCTTCCTCTCCCTTCTCTGCTTCCCTATCCTAACCTTGTTTCAGATTTCCTCCACCCTTCCTTCCCCTGTCCTCTTGTATGATCTGACTGTTTTTGTCTCTTCTCCAGGCCTGGTGGCGGGTTGATCATAATTGATAGTATGCCTGACATTCGCAAAAGAAAACCCATACCCCTAGTTAGCGATTTGGTGAGGTTTCTTCTTCTAACATCTTTCTTTTCTCTTTTCTTTCTCTCCAGCAGCTACTGGCTTTATCTGCTCTGGAACAGCAGGAATTCCACTGAATGTGTCTCTGGAGCCAGCTAATGGAAGGATGAATGTGACCTCATAGACTGAAGTCTTTGAATTCAGTATTTTGTAATTTGAGATCTGGTGTACTCCTTGGCTGAGGCAGTGAATTGAGAAAAAAAAATGCCCTGGTGCTAATTCTCCTGAAACCGTAATTGTCTTAAGTAGCCTCATTTGACTGTTTGATCTCATTGGGGTCCCACTTCCCGTGTTGAGAGAGGGGAGCGATGGGAAGGAAGACAGGGGTTGACTACATTGGTAAGATCTCTCTCTTTATATAGAGAGATGGATGCACATACTCATTTGCAAAATAAAAAATAAAAAATACCACGTATCAGCCATCCCAAGCCTGATACCCTCTAAACAGGGCTGGGCTTCAAAAATTTTAGCAAGGGGTTATCTGCCCGGTTGCTGGGTGGGCCTGGCCATGGTGGGTGTGGCCTAGTTGGCCTCTTGCACCATGGCAGAGGGTGATGTTTTTGCCCTCCCGGGGCTCCGGAGGCTTTCCTCGAGCCTCCAAGAGGGCAAAAATGGACTCCCCAGACTCTGGAGGCCCATTTTTTTCCCCGAACTTCTTGTGGGCCCATTTTTTGCCTTCCCCAAGGCTCCGTGCACACCCTGCACTTACCTGCATCCAAAATGGGCCATGTGGGGACTCCTGGGAGGGGAGGGGTCGGCAGGGCGGGGCCAGCCAGGAGTGGGCTTTGGAGGTTCTCCAAACTGCACAGAATCTCAGCTAGAGGTTCTCCCGAACCCCTGCGAAGCCTCAGAAGCCCACCCCTGTTTCTAAAGCCTTTGTGAGATTTTGGGTTGGAATCAAGAAAGTATTTGGATGAGTAAGACTGTAGTCCCAAGGGTACCCACTGCTTCAAAGTTGAATCTAGCAGCAGCAACATAGCCTTTGGCTAAATCCTATTTGGAATACAATAATTCAATATAGGCAATGTTTCTTAACCTTGGCAACATTATGATAAGTAGATCAACTCTTAGAATTTCCCTAGCCGGCATGGAGACATATTTAATAATTATTAACAGATACTTAATAAATATTAACAGATATTTAATAGGTATTAACGTATCTTAAAGCCCACATATTTTAAATTTGCTGCGATTGATTGAGGTTTCTTCAATTCTTCAAAACCAGATTGGCTGCTTCATAGGCACAGTCATATTGTGGCAATACAAAGTTTAATTGGCTTTTTTTTTCTTTTTTTGCTTCCTATCAAGGCTACTGCTCTTGGATTTTCTGAAGTGTCCCATTCAAGTACAAGCCAGGTCCAACCCTGCTTAATTTCCCAGTTAGATTAAAACAACCAGATGCTGCCTCTCATGGTGGAATGGGACAACTCATTGCAGCCAAATCGCCATGGCGAACTCATTGCGGGACAATTCAACAATTCAATTTCATTATTTAAAATAATTTTAAAATGTTTTAATGTTTGTCATTCACATTTCATTTTGTCCCTCCTGTGGTATCCTTTCTTTAATGATTCTATTCCACTGTTTCTTCAATATTAGTGTAACTCTTGTGCGGCGGTGANAAAAGAACAGTAATTTTTGTTTTCTACTTGCATTTTTATGTGCTTTCGAACGGCTAGGTTGGCAGAAGCTGGGACAAGTCACAGGAGCTCACTCCATTACGCGGAGCTAGGGATTCGAACCGCCGAACTGCTGACCTTTCTGATCGATATGTCTTAGCCGCTGAGCCACTGCGTTCCTTTCCAAAGGGATTATGTGCTGTCAGGTCATTTTCCAACATTAAAGTCATCATCATTATCAGTCATCAATATTTTCTGTATTGCAGCGGGCAAAAGATTTTGCTTTTTAATAAGATGCTGCGCAGTCCAGTCAGTTTCACCATCTGAACCCAGGTGCAGGGAGGGAGGGCAGGCATCACCTTGGCCTTGGTCTACTCCTGCCATTTCAAGAGCTATGTTACGTGCCAGGCACGGTGAATTGAATATTGCAAAGACAGTGATGTCTCTATTCGCCATGGGAATGGAGAGGCTGGATTATGAGAGGGTACAGCCACCTGAGAGGATCTCAAGATGAGAAAACCAGACAATGAGAACCAAGGACATCTCTTTTACACTAGCATAATGCTATTTACAATCACACCTTTGAAAGCTTAGTTCCTAGCAACCTTTCCAACCAACCCCAAATAGGGTTGTAGGAAGTTAATGCCCACCCTTCTCCTAGAAAAATGAAATATTTTAGGAAATATTAAAAAGGAAGAATATTATATTTCCCTGGATGAGAAATGGACAAACATGTTTTTTAGGCAGGAAGCAGACTCACTTTTAATAGCCCCCACCCTCCTCAATAGCCCACAGCAGATGCCAGCACTTAAGAGATAAAGAGAGAGCTACGTCTATTCATAGGCAAATGCCCTCATCCACGATCCAACAAAGATAAGATTAGGCTTCTACCCATCTCATCACATGGCACCTGGGACGATTACATCACCCAGCAAGAGTCAACCAAGCTTGGGACTCAGGATAGCCTACAGAATTGCCCCTGCATGGCCCCATGGGAGTCTGACAACCAATCAGAATATAAGCTCAAATTCAAAAGCCCAGAGAGGGCATAAAACTCTCAGCATCTCTGCCTTTTCTTGTCTTCATCCAACATCCTCCGGACATGTGGTCCTGTCCACCATTAAACCATCTTTCCAAACAGTCTCCATATTAACAGGGTCTTTGTCCCCATTTGGAACTGAACCCAGAAGGACATTTCTTCCAACACAGTCATGCCTTCTGCAGGGAGCAGCAATCAATTCAATCCTATCCAGATTTAATTTCCTGATACAAATTATGTTGCCACCAGGTATGCAATTCTGCCTTCATAGAATTATTTCTTTCCCACCGCATTTTTATTTCAAAATGAACTCTAATGCACTCTGGCATCAGTTGAATAAAAAATGTGTTTCGAGATTACTTATTGCTTTGGCTTCCATAGATATTTTCAGATATTTTGCAGCTTCTTTCCTTCTGTTTTCAAAGATTTCTCTGCAAGGATAAAACATGTAGTTTTCATTTCCTAATACAGTTACGATTATTTCCAAACTATGCGGGGCTACCAATTTTACTGAGGTAGACTATTTTTGTTTAAAAGGTTTTTTAATGTCAGGGATAGCTAAAATTTCTATTAAAAAAAAGTAGGGGATAACAGATTCCTTCTGTTTTCTTTGTTTGAATGGACCAGTTTGAAATCTTCCTCTTCAGTTTCAATAGATCACTATCTCAGGGGCTGCCACAAAGAAGAGGGGATCCACCTGTTCTCCAAAGCACCTGAGGGCAGGATAAGAAGCAATGGGTGGAAACTAATCAAGGAGAGAAGCAACTTAGAACTAAGGAGAAATTTCCTCACAATTTGAACAAAGAAAACAGAAGGAATCTGTTATCCCCTACTTTTTTTTAATAGAAATTTTAGCTATCCCT